ATAAGGCCAGAAAGAAAGCAAGCAAGAACGAGAAAAGTAAAGACAGCAAGTAAGAAACAACCAAATAACGAAAGGAACCAACGAACGAGTAGATAAAAAATGCAATCAAGAACGAAATACATAATTTAACAATCCAAGAAGCAGCGAACGAACGAAGGAACGAACGAACTAACGAAACAACGAAAGAAAACCAGCTAACAAGCATATTAAAATCCGTTTGTGTGTGTGTGTGTTAAGTACACGTGTGCGTGTATGCACAAGGCAAAGTTGTCTGCCCTCTCTCGTTTCTAGATCTGTGCACGAACCATGCTAGTTGACATATGGGAAGACCTCCCCAAGCATGCTTCGCAAGTAATATGCTCCCTGTCCGTGCCTTGCGCTGCTTTTGGCAGCCCCCCGGCCCAGCCTGCCTAAGCCAGGCAAGTTTTCTTCCAAATCAAACCTGCCAGCAAAAAACAAGACGCGTAAAGATCCTTTCAGAACCTCTGATACAGACATTGTGGTTGCCAATGGGTGGGGCTGCGCCCCCCAACTCCCCCACTCTTTCTTTTGCCGTGCACCTGGGTGCGGGCCGCAGGTCGTGTCGGTCGCGGGCCAAAGACCGCGCCCCGTCAAAAGTTGGGCGCGGGTTCACCAAATTTGCAGAAGCTGAATTGGCAAAGGAGGAGGCATGTTCAGAGTGTGTGATGAGAGGGCGTATTCAAGATATGTCATGAACTTGTACCGCCAAACAATGAGGGGGTGTTTAAGATATATTATGATCCGGCATCACCACATGAGGAAGCGCGTTGAAGATGCATGCTGAATCGATGAGCCGGAATCGCTCCTGCAAGTTGATATTTCCCCAATAGATTGACACAATACAAGGACTCGAAATGGTAATCCCCCAGCAGCTTGGGCAAAACAAGACCTTGCAAATCGTAATTACCCATCAGCTTGACGCAAAGCAAGAGCCTGCAAATTATGATTCCCCAATAGCTTGACAAACGACAGGAGCCTCGAAATTGTAATCCCCCAATAGCTTCAAGCAAAACGGGACCTTGCTAATTAGACTTCCCTAATAGCTTGATGCCAAACAAAAGCAAATGCTGCAGTGCAATCTTCATGAGCAGGCTCGTCGAAACGGGGTGAATCGTAAGATCTCGAGAGCTCGGTATGCCGTTTGCTTACAGAACCTCCCTAGAGCCGACGAATAGGCAGCACCGGCAGAGCAACTTATGGAGTTTGGCAAGGCGATCTCGATTCTTTGTCGCCTTTATTCCACCGGACCCTGCTAGGAAGCAAGAAAGGGCTCTCCTAGTAAGGGCCGCCAGGATGAAGTCAGAGATGCCCGTGAGAGCCACGCTGTATATCAGGGTCGCATACGGATGCAAGCGCATTGTGTGCCTCAGTCGAGCGCCACGTTGCAGTGCCATTGTGGATGTTGTATAATTGTAGAGTGTTTAGACGTCTTGTAGGAAAACTCCAAACTCCCGGAACCCTAAACCGCTAAACCGTAAAGGTGCTTGAGCATGGGTGTCCGTTTGGGATTTGGGGTTTGCATGTCCAAATAGTCTACTGGGTTCGAACCGATGAACAAAGCCTGTCAGACTGCAGATGCATGCATAGTTAAGCCCAAACAGCTCATCAACAGCCCCAAACCACCCATTAAGTCTTTGCGAAGAATCGTGAGAGTCGAATTGTCTGCTTTTGATCTGCCGATGTTTTCTCCCTAATTAACTATTTGTGAATCAGTGTTGAAATATTGGCCGTTGAAAGTAACACGCCTATGGTGGGTTTAAGGCGCCTATATGTCGAATCGGTCCCGGACTCCATTCATTTCGCGAGGTCGTGCTGTCTGCTGGATTCTGGCCCCGCGCACGCTTGTGCGAGCTGATTGTGAAAAGGTGGCCGAAAGGTTTGATTGCTCGTTTGGTGGCATTGTAGATTGTAGATCTGGATTTACTAGTCACGGCTTCTTCGGACTTGGAACTTGTTTCGGGTTTTTCATTCATAATCGAGCTCAGTCAGGCGTTTTTCGACATTTCACAGTTTTGCCGCCCGCGCAGCTTCACGGTTCGGCCACGATGCCACGCATGAACCCCAGCAGCTGTAGGACGACTCCGAGTCCAGGCTTTTTGTTACGCAAACTCCAGCTCTTTCAACGGTAGAGGGCCTGAGCAGCCCATGCAATATATTGAACAATTCTAGATGAGGTTTTATTTTCGCAACTTTCATGCCCAAGCTTTTGGATCAAAAGATATTTTCTCGAGAGTTTAAACTCCAATGCTTCTAGCATACAGCTGACCCGTGGCATCGCCAGTGTGCAACCGGTGATCAGGACCGGGGATTTTGAATCCCCAAACCTTGAGCCCTAAATTAGACCCGAAACCCTAGACTAAACCCTTAGCCCTGAACTAAAGCCTTAAACCCTATAAACCTTCAAGCCCAAACTTGCAAACCCTAAAAACTGGTCAAACCCTAAACAACCTGCGGTTTGAAACCCGAGAGCCCCCCAGCTCTGGGATCCCCTGGCCAAAGTCGAAGCTCAGTACATAGATACTAGTTATATGTATATGTAAATATGTGTGTATATATATA